GTCGTCGTCGTCGTCACGTCGTCGTCGTCGTAGTAGTAGCAGCAGCAGCAGCAGCAGCAGCAGCATTAATGATAGCAGGTAGTGGTAGTTTCGGTATCATCATCGTTATTGGTATATCATGCTTTTACTAGCAGTGGTGGTGTTGGTGGTGGGGGTGGTGCTGGTGGTTGTGGCGGTGATGGTGGTGGTGGTGGTGGTGGTGCTGGTGGTCGCAGGGCGCCCGCTGGACATCAAAAGAAGCGCAGACGACTCAACAACGTGCACTCGTCCCCGCCTCCGTCTTCCGGCGCGTCATAGGAGACCGTCTCGGTCATTAACCTTGTTTATACCGTTTTTGGCCTTGCATCCCAGGACTATCAGGGAGGTGCCCTGGTCGTCGGCACCGAGGAGTCCTCGCGTGGCCTGGGCGACGCAGTGATTCGGCCTGACTTGAAGGTTTGCAGTGACTCCAATAAGGGAACATTGAGTGACGAGTCCACAGGCACGTCGATGTCTCAGGTGACATTTCCCTCTTACATGGCTCACTGTGTTCTCCCAGTCTCCAAGGGAGTCAGGCTTGGCCTTTCATGACCATACCCTCGCTTTGTCCGGTGTGTCATACACACCCAGTCACATCTGTGTGATCATGCCATGGGGTCTTCCACAGTCGGCAGCCAGGCACGCTTTGGTTGCCTGGGTGCGTGGCCGGGTGAACAGCGACCTGGCAGATGCTGCACAAGCTGCGCACCGACGCGCCATCGCCAGCTGGCTCAGAGCGAAGCATTGGTGACATTGCAAGTAAATAAAGTTTGAAGAGCCGGTTGAGCGATTTTAGCTAACATCCATGAGTGGACGAAACTTCGTCCAATGATAAGCTGCAAAACTTCCCAGTTTACTTGGGGACTTTTTGAAACATGGCTCTGGCAAGGTTGTGATAGAGGATTGAAGGTCGAAACTACCTACCTAGTTTCGGCGAAGATCATCGGCACTTCCTATCGTGAGTCAGAGATCAACCAAATGTGCCAGTTGGAGTCTGCAAGCCGAGAGTCGGAAGGTTGAAGCCATTGCTACTTGAACATCCAACTCTAGGACAGCACTACTGCGCTCGCACATTTGACTCGTTCTTGGCTGCAGTTCTTGAGCAAAAAAATTCGCTTCTTGGGAGTCCGATGGAGTCACATGCATGCCAGACACTGCAGAAACAGCCGAGGTTCCAAACTTTGAGCAGCAACTTTCTCTTTTTGTGAGGCTTTAGTGTCCTCTAGTCTTCTCTAGCGCTTTTGCCTGGAAATGTGTTCACGCCGTACAACTTGCAGTTCACTTTCTTGCGAAACTCCTCTACTCATTTAGTAGCCAATCTTGGCTGCTTGTTCGTGGAAACGGTTGGTGGTCCTTGACATGTAGCTGCTTACTGATTGCTCCAATGGGAAAACATGCCCCCACGTATCACCAGAAGAAACGGAAACCTGAACCGAGGCTATTTAGCGAAAAGAAGAATTGTTATCATGTCTGTTGCGCAAGCCGCCAGCATCAGCCAGTTTGCAGCCTACTTTCTGCTGCTTTAGTGCTTGCTTTGTCCGGGAAGAGCGGCCTGCTGCGAGCTTCTCCGGAGTCTTAGAGGCTTCCAAGATCTCTTTGTGAAAGTTCTCAGGCCGATGGCTCCAAGTCGCTGAAGATCGAGCGACCTGCGAAGCGCGCTCAACTGGTGCCGGATCCGAATCAGCGAGAGAATTGCCTTAGGGTGGATTTGGGGTTCGGGCCAGGATCCGGAAAAATTCCCGGGCTTCCGGGCGGATCTAGATTCAAGTTTCCCTTCCTCTGCAGGCTCAGGCAGCTCTCGGCTTGCAGCGCATCTACGGCAACCACTTGCTACACATCGGCCGGCACCGGGAGGCGGCCGATATGCTGCGCGCCGTGGCGCAGCAGGCTGGTGATGGTGTGGAGGCTGCGATGCCTTGGGCTGCACTGAGCTGCGTGCGATGCAGGATCCTTACAGCCCCGGTGCTTTGAACAACCTGGCAGTGGCAGAGTACCAGCAGGGAAAATTGCATGCGGCAATTGCACCTGGGCCGAGAACGATCATTTCCTTTGCAGGTTTGTAGTGTGAGATGATGAAGCCATTGCCGAGGATGCCCTCCTCTATGCCGTGAGTCTACGTCCGAACGATGGTGCCCGTACAGCAAAGAGAGCATGCACCAGTCTTTGCTCTGCGGGCCCTTGGGGCACATGCGGCGCCTGTGGAGGCGAAGTGAGAGCAAACCTGGGACGGTTCTTTTTCCTGGATGGCCGCCTTCCGTTGGGGACGTATCACTTGGCCACGGCCGTGACTCTTTGGCACCGTTCGGCGCCTCAGCTTGAAGACAGGTCTGGAGGCCTTGTTGCGACGGAAGAAGTTGGCATGTTTTGGACCCGCTGCCTCGGCATGACTGTCGATGGCTCAGGCAATAATGCTGTCCCTCTTCTGTATGACGGCATACTGAACCTCGACTGCACCGGTGCCATAGCGAACATGTTGCTGTTGATGCAGCGTGTATCAGCGTGGTCGCTGATCGCTACTTAGGTAGCGTGTGTTTTGGGCTCAGTTGCTTGTGACAACCCCATGTCATGTCAATGTGTCAAGTGCATGCTGCCCACTGTCACAGCAACAGAGGCAGTGCATTTTGGTGCTGCTGCCTGACTGCTCTCGGCTGGCCGAAGCCGCGATCGTGCGACGACCAGGAGGAGGCAGAAGGATGGATTGGGGCACACAGCCCGGTCTTGTGTGTCCAAAGCAGTATTCCGTGCTGCCCTGCCAAATGGAAGGCATCCACAGACCCGGACACATCGGAGGATCATGAGCTTGCAACTGCAAATGTGCAGGATAAAAAAGGTCTCTGGCAGTATTGAAATTGGTGTGTCAGTGCTGCTCGGGTATTCATGGTCCGATCAGAGACTGCATCCTTTTTGTGCGAGAAGGGTTAGGCTTGCAGCAGGCGGTTGGAGTTCTCGCCAGGCAGACTGGGCAAGAGCGAGCTCAGCGCTGAGCCATACGGAGTCTGATCAGCCTGATCTGCAGACACGAGGTAAGCCTATTCCCCAGGCCCCAGGCACCAGGCACCGTCATTCGAGGCTGTGAAAGCCATAGACATCGGCAACATGAAGAATCCCACCAGGCCTGACGTGCCGTACCCGAGTTTGTGCTTGGCTGGGTCCGAGCGGTGCGACAGGTTCCAGCGCGAGATCAACATCGCACAGAAGCTCGACCATCCCAACGTAGTCAGGCACGCATATTGTGTATGGCAAGGTCGATGATCCCTGGAACAGGCATTTTGCCAGCAGTAACAGAAACCGCTCGTGCTCCAGGCTCTACGAGACGTTCAGAGACGCTCGGAAGGCCTTGTGTGCAAACCAGGTCTCAGCAGCTTCCATGTGGGGGCTGGTTTCAGAAAGAACGGCAACTTTGAAATAGCAAACACTGACAAGTATTGTTCTCGTGACAGATATACTTGGTCATGGAGCTCTGCACGGGTGGAGAACTCTTCGACCGCATAGTGGACGAGGCTGTGGACAGGGCGATCAGGACTGACTGTGACTTCTTCCGTTTTCAAGGGCCTCTCAGTGTGAATAGGACGAGCGAGACTTTTGCCTGTTATCCAGTCGTAAAGCAGAGAGTGGAATTCACGCTCGACTGCCAGCAGTCGAGAGCGTCACACGCGACAGGCGCCAAGCGGGTTTGATGAAGCACACGCTGCAAAGTGCGCCGATCCATCGCTGCCCACAGAGATCCCTCCAGTGATGCTAAAAGGGGTGCTGTTGGACTGTCGTGAGCAGGCGTGTGACAGATCTTTTTCTGGTCCTCCGAGGTACATACGGCAGATTCTGTCTGCGATTTGCTACCTTCATGCCCACAGGCCACCCCGTGGTGTAGTCAAAAGTACTGATTGGAATGGCAGCAGTCGCTCCTTGAGCGTGTTTAAAAAAAAGAAGATTGCTTCAAATAAAAAGTGTCAGTGCCGAGTGCTTGGCTCGCTTTGCTTGACAATGGTTGTGTGCAAGCCGTGTGTGTTGAAGGCGACCGTGGCGTCCCCTCCATGATTATGAATGAGATCGTTAGGTTCATCTCATCGACGCAGTCCCACTGTGGATGCTTCAAGCTACTCTTCGCAAAAGCGTGAGTGATAGTTATGTTCATTGTTGTGTGCTGAAGACGACCGTGGTTTCCCCTCCGTGATTATTGATGAGATCGTTAGGTTC